GGAGCATACATAACTCTATATCATAAACCCTAACGCCGGTGTGGCATAGTTTCAGGCGCATTAGCGACAGCTATTCATGTTTGCATAGTTTACTTGGCGGCAGTCGCTTACATACATCGACAGACAGTTAACGGTTTCACTATTTTCGGATCTCACACCATTTCATATGCTGCAGGTAGCTCCCATTTGCCACTGGCGTTCAGGTCACTCGCTCGACGCATGTTGACTGTCGGTGGCACCACATTCGCCAACTTACCTAATATATTCACCTAACCAATTCATGGCAGGCATCCAGGCATGCTGTGCAAATTTTATTAATGCACCTTCTGTAGTATGTGTGGTATATGTTACATGAGTGAGTGGGAATTGCATTTAGTTTGTTTGTCCTCTACGTTTACATAACGGAATTCGGTTAAATTAAAAAGCTTCACACATTTGAATGGATTTCCTCGTTATATGCGCATTAAGAAATTGCCATGATTTTTTAATATACGCAGCATATATGCTGCTACTTATATCTGTAATGCTTTTTGTAGACTACTACTCAAGCTTTGGTACCTGATGGATTCCTAGTGTTCTATGTCGGGTTTGTAATAAAGCTGGACATTCACAGAGAAAGTCCAAAACTGTTTCCTTGTGCCTCTCTAGTTTGTAGCTAATGCAGCAAATATTGTTATAGGGCAGACACATTTTTCGCACATGTTTTTCAATTAATTGCCCAATGCCCTGTTATAATAGCTGTAAGTGTGTATATACTTTCTCTGGAACTATTTAATAAGTATTTAACTTAGCGTATTCTCGTTATGTATGGCAATGCTCCGATAATAGTTCCTAATAGTTTAGATCTTTCTTAGTGCACATATAACAAATACGAGGATTGCCACTTCCTGTTTTCCCTTAATTGATGAAAAAAGAGTTGTATTTTTTTCGTCTCATTATATTTTCCTTTTAGGCCATTTTTATTAACATAATCTAAAAAAAAATGAGATTTTATGTATTCGTTATGTAACAAAAGTCAAAAAAATATTAAACTAGTTCTAGTAAGTACTACTAATAAATACTATATATCAAGCTCATCTAGTATCGTCCCTACTCCTTGCTGGTACATTTTTAAGAACTTTGAATAAATTATTTTAAACTTGTTGTATAGTCATATTAAATTTCAAAAAACTTTATGTAATCATCAGCTTTTACCCGCGCCTTCGATCGCACTGAGTCCATTAAATAAGTATTAGAGATCTTTATAGTATAAACGGATCTATTGAAATAATATATTTTATTGCTTTGCTGGGATTATCTACTTGAAAAAATTACTACATGATATGAAGTTTCAAATTTGGAAATACATATACTTTATTGAATCAATACAACAAATATTAATATATATTTCACTATAAAGAAAATATATAAATCTGAATTGTAACAATTAAAAATTTGAAATGCAGATTATTAGTCAAGGATATTTATATGAACTATATTATACGTTTTTCCGTTGGGTGCAAATATGTGTAAATTCCGGGCATTAGACACACGCGAACAGGCTACATATAGTTGACCATAAGAAAACCATGACTTTGCTAAATGCACTCCTGTTACCTGTAATGTTTGTCCTTGTGCTTTGTTTATAGTTAACGCAAAACTAAGCTTGATGGAAAACAGAACTCTTTTAATTTGGAATGGAAGGTGAGTGGGAATAATTGGAATCCGAGGTACGAACATACTTTTTCCTTTACCGACACCTGTTAAAATATTAGCGCCAAGTATATTCTGTCAAGTGAATTTAAAAACTCCACAGGATATGAGGTACTTATTTCTGTATCCATTGATAAATATTCCATCATTTCCCGTTACATTTCTTTTAAAATGTCATTGTTGATTTTATTAACAACTTCATTTTTTGTTGCTAATATCGCTCGTGCGCACAGTCACTGCTCATTACTCAAATTTTGTTGCAATTCGGGAAAACCATACGCAATGAAATCCACATCATTTTCTACTAAATTACAATATTCTGTTGAAAGTGATGCACAACTTTCAGGATCAACATCTAAACAACCATCACCAATTTTCAATAACATTTCAGCATAAAGTCGTGAATCCACGTCATTATGAAGATGCACTCTCATATTCGTTTTCAGACTGAGTTTTTCAACTTTCGACCGTAAGCTTGATGATTTTAAGCACGCTTGAATTTCATTTCCTGGTGTATCTGTACTATCTCGGAGGTCCTGCAGAATCAATTTGTTTACACATGAACAGCTTTGAACTATTTACGAAAATTACTTCATTACTAACTGTTTGATTTTGTTGTTTTTAGCGAGTACACTTCTTCTCAAACAAAATTTTGTATACCCTGAATAGGGTAAATTAAGTTTTGCCACGAAGTTTGTAACACCCAAACGGAAGCATCGGAGACCCTATAATATGTACATCTATGTATATAAATGGTCAGCGTATACAAACTGAACGATCAAATATCTGTTTTTGAATGGAAAAAGACGAGATATCTTCCGAATCTATCTTTATATATCAACGATCAATTTTCGAAGAAATTGTTCAAATCGGACTACTATAGTTTGTAGCTGCCATACATACTAAACGACCAAAATCAAGATAAAGATATTTGTAAACCCTTTTATGCTATAAGAAATGTACCAGTGAAGGGTATTATAGCTTCGCTTCAGCAATAGTTAACGTTTTTCTCAGAATTCTAACCTTTAATTTTATTCTTTTAGTAAAGTGTGAGAGTATTTACATACAAGTATATATATATATATTAATTTTAACATTATATTTAATAAATTATAAAATAATAAAATTTCCCTTGATTCTTTTCCGTCTTCTTTAAAGCGGACTTAAAACTATTTTGTGATTGTTTTGTAAATGCCTGTAACTCTGGAATATAAGTAAAAAAATATGCTGGCAAATCGTTTAAATTTTAAGCCCTACACAGCAGCAGCAGAGCTGTTTTAATGGCGAAATTAACACCAGCACATCGTTAGGTGGAGCGACGACCAAACAGGTATATGACATACACATACATACATTTGGCTTTTCCAAACAGCAGCAGCACGCAAAGGGTCCCTGGTGCTAAAGGCGGGTCAATGTGCACTGTTTGCACCTTTTTCTTAGCTTATGCAAAAATACATAATAAAGGTGGCATATGAGGTGGCACAGCGTATGAGTGAATGTGTTTGTCGAATCCTTTCATCGCCTCACTTTGCAGTAGCGATGGTGCGTGTGTGTTTGGCGACCATTTAATGACCACCCTAAAGGCAAGTTGGCGCCGTTTACAAACGACCTGGCCACATTCACACACAAGCACACGTGCACATCGCACTGATTTGCAAATTTTCTTAACTTGCTTTCTTTTATTTTCCTGTGTTGGCGCAGTCGAGTGGCGTCAGCAATTTTTCCCCATAAGTGCACTAGTAGTTCGGCGAACAAGAGTGTGCAATTGCATGTGCAGGAGCATATGTCCGTACGCGTGCTTTGGTGTGAAATCAAAAAAGCGGAAAGAATTTGTATTTTGTGCTGTCGCTGCAATGCCGAGCAATATGCCCAAAGTGTCATAGTTGAAGTGCAAAGCAATCAAAAGTGACTGACAGGCGGGAGGCAGGCAGACAGGTAGGCGGCATGGCAGTAGCGCTGTCGGCTTAGGGCAAAAACCTGTCCGTTGCAAGGCGGCAGGTGTTGCAGTTTGTCACTGACCGCGTTCAACTATTCGTATGCGTGTTCCTAGAGGCTTTTACTATAGTGCGACCCTGCAGCGAAAGTTTTAAGTAAAAAACCGAGGACCATGTCGCCAATGCTTTTTTATATTTTGTGGTTAGTATAATTATTTATAACTATATTTCCTTTAAATAAATAAAAACAAACTACAATAAAAATAAATATTAATTTTTTGAAAATCAAATAAATAATTATAAACACTTGAAACAAAAAAAATTTGCTGAAGTTAAATTTTTTTTTTGAGCAGCACATTTTATTCTTATTAATAATCTGATTAAATTCTTAACATTTTTAGTGTTTTGTTTTTTTGCATTAATAATGCGTGTGCTTTTAACTTTTTCGGAAAATGGCGGACTTTTTGAATAAAAAAAAAAAAAACAAGAAAAAATGTAAGTCCGGTTGCACCGGAGCTAGAATAAAAATAGATATCTTAACAAGTAAGCCCTTAAGCTCCGCAATAAGATACAAGACTGTTATTTGGTACACAGGATCACATTAGGGAGGGGCATCTGATTTCAACCAAATTCGGTGCGTAGCGTTCTTTTCATGTTTCTATGTCATAGTGCGAAAATGGGCGAAATCGGATTACAACCACGCCTATTTTCCATATGACACCATTTTAAATTCCATCTGATTCTTTCACTTTCCACTATGCAAATCAGGCAACAATGACTATATCGGGATAAAACTTTGCGTTAATAATGCGATTAAAGTATGCCACCTTGTGGCTTAAAATTGTCTAAATCGAACCAAAACTGTTCAAGCCCCTAAGTACTAAATATGTGGACCCCAGTGCCTATAGTTGACCTTCTACCGAAAATATCAGTCAATCCACAAAGAAATTTCAAACGAGTATACTATTTGACTTTGCGAGAGTATAAAATGTTCGCTTACATCCGAACTTAGTCCTTCCTTACTTGTTTTCGAATGAACTTTAATTTTTTTGTACATTGTACGTGTTTCTATTGTTTTCCTCTCAATTCCTTTGTGTTGTTTAATATTTGCTCTTGTATGCGTGCCAACGTAAGTGTGAAGTCCTCAAACAAGCGCCACAAAATAACGCACAGAACATTCGTTACATTACATATCAGAAAGCCCACGAAAAAGCTGTTAGCAGCCATTGCAAACAACCAAAGCGTAAAAAGATTTCAAATGCTCAGCGAACACAATGTATTTACTTTGAGATACTTTGAAACACTGTGACTAGCAATTTCACAGCTTTCTGAAGAAAAATGTAATTTACCGATTGTAGTAAAATTATTCTGGCATTTTATGATTTCAGATAGTAACGGTTTAGTTTAATTTCTCAGTCATATTTACTTAATCAATTATACAATTTTCGATGAATAAAGTAACTTAGTTGACTTTGATTACATTACACCATAACTGGTCTATACATATACAATTTATTTGTTATGTTGTGTTTGCTAGTATTTTTATTTTATTGCATTAGCCCTTAAAATTCCAGTATCCTTCGAGTCCACCCTGGAAATCGTTTCGATTCCAATCATAATTACGTCTACCCTGCGCATAGGCATCCAGACTAAAACTGCCGTCGTCGCTTTTTAGCAAGTTCTGATTGTACGTGATGCTGCCCTCCCGTCCTGCCTTCGTATTTTCATACTTTATTTGAATTCTGCGCCTGTTATCTTCCTTTGAAGATTCTCCAGAAGAAGAAGGTGAACGCACATGACGAACAAAAAGCTCTGAAGGATTGTCCTCACTCCAGTTCTGGTCATCTACCATATAAACCGTGGCTTCGTCATTATATTGCGCTGACTCCTCCAATAATGGATGTGCAATGCTTAATGCGAATACTTGTAGTACACAAAAGACGCGGATAATAGTAGATTTGGAACTAGTCATTTTGATGAATTATTTTTTCAAGATTATAGTGTTTAAGTGAACTCTTTACAAGAATCTGCTGTGTCAACTGTGCTGATTTCATAAAGCTCGTCTTATTTATAGTCATATCGTGAGTGAGGGAGTGAAATCACCGAGTGGGGCTTACAAACTTGAATCCGACAATAAGCGGCTGTTATATATGCAAGGAGAGTTTTTGAGCAATATTTGCCATAACTGAAAATTTGTGATAGACTTGTAGTGAAGAGCACAGTTGAGATGCAGTGGGATATTAAATATTGTCGCAACTCGCAGAAATTTTTGGTACGTAATTTGGAGATGTCAAGAAATTTTATTCCATTCCATTTAAAAATCTCGGCCCATAATCAATATGGTGTAAAGTCAAGCGGGAAAAAATTAACAGAGAGAACTAGAAATATGGGAGCCAGTTGGCGACCGTTTTTATGCATTTAGGGCACAAAATCACACAGTTGTTAAGAAAATATGCCTACATTAGTTGGTTAATATATTATATATCACATATTGACCCATTTTTGCGTTAGAATGTGAATCGGAGGATATTCAGTATCTGTGAGTTAAGAAAGGCACAGATTATTTAGTGAAATTGTATAGGTAAATTGTAGTTCCAATTGGCCAAGTAGTATTTGAAGATATTAAACTTTTCTTAAACAAGTTTGGTTAGATTAGTTAAAATTTTCTCTTTGGCCTTCTCCTTTTCGCTTATGATATTAAAACATTCAATTAGAGTCTTAATGACATACCGGAAGGGGTATCTAACTTCGGCCTTGACCTTTTTCTCAACTAAAAATCACAAAATTTACCTTATTTTGTTCTCGTATGCATACATACTTGTACATGTGAAGAGAACCACTGAGAAAGTCTTATCAGTATGGGCAGAAGCTGTGCTGGTAAATCCCAATTGGGGATTTTAAAATCCAAATAAAAATTAGCAAGGCTTATCAGTATGGGCATAAGCTGTGTTGGTAAATCCCAATTGGGGATTTTAAAATCAAAATGAAAATTAGCAAGGCGAGAAAACCACCTCAGAGATCTATAAATACGACGAACAACACTAAAACAGAGCACAGTTCTCTTACATAAAGTATTGAAGTAAAGAATATACAAGTATGTACGAAAAGTATACTGCAGTGCCATAATCTGGAAAAAATTATTAGTTTTCAAACCTTTATCTTCACGTATTGCGGACTATTCGCATTAACCATTGCACATCCATTATTGGAGGAGTCATCGCCATATAATGACGAAGCCACGGTTTATCTAGTAGATGGCCAGAACTGGATTGAGGACAATCCTTCAGAGCTGTTTGTTCGTCATGTGCGTTCACCTTCTTCTTCTGGAGAATCTTCAAAGGAAGATAATGGCAGGAGCAGAATTCAAATAAAGTATGACAAGACGAAGGCAGGACGGGAGGGCAGCTTCAAGTACAATCGCAACTTGCTAAAAAGCGACGACGGCAGTTTTAGTCTCGATGCCTATGCGCAGGGCAGACGTAATTATGATTGGAATCAAAACGATTTCCAGGGTGGACTCGAAGGACGCTGGAATTTTAAGGGGTGAAGAGGTGGTTTATTAAAATACGGAAATAGTTATTTTAAATAGTACGATGTAGAGTGGTCAAATAAATATTTAGCAGTAACTTAACGTGAGTTTTTTAGCTTGCAACGAGAAACTATTTTCGCTTAAAGCTGTATTAAATAACAGTAAGCTTGCAAGCTGTTCGAAATGATGAGCCCCCGATAATAGTTAGAAGTTTGTAGATATTATGGGTGTATGAGTAAATCAAAAGAGGCCAAGTCCTAAAAAAAATGACAAAGTCAATTTCCGAAGCATTTATTTGTAGTGAAAATTTCTTGCAATATAAATTGGCTTTCCAAAAGCCTGCAATAGAAGCCAACGGCAGCAAAAAATATGCCAATGAAACTTCTCTGTATTGCCAGTCAGCTGGAGTTACATAAGTTAAATGAGCAGTTTTGCATAACTCAGGTGAACAGCGTGTGCAGGTGCGTGTTTGTGTCTAAGTTCACTGGGAAGTGAATGAAAAGTTCAAATTGCTTTACGACTCGCAACTCGTTGGCCCTGAGCATTTACAGCAGTCAAACTTCGAGTAAACTGTTAACAGTAGTGATTGCGATGCGATTTTAACTTCCTTGACGAAGTTCCAAAGACAGCGCATACACGCGCTGGCATGTGTTGGTGGACCTTTGAACTTACGTAGTACTTGTGTAGTGCGCACTTGAGTACTTTGACAATTTAATTGAAATTATTATTGCATAATTTTCAAAACTTTGAAATTCGGTAGAAATTGAATTTCAAATTGCCAAAATGCCAAAAGCAAAAGCAATAAAAACAAATACACATGTACACACAATAAAATAGCAACAACATGTAGTCCAATTCTAACTGAACGCCAAAAAGATTAAATGCTGAAATGAGTGTAGAGTAGAGCAAATGAAAATTTGAAGTGCTTTTCAAGTTGTGCCTGAGTACTGCCCCAGCACCGCTGGCGTTTCGGTCCAGAGTCAAGCGGAGTTAAACCGACGTTAAGATCGTGTGCATCGACAGCAGACAACTTCACTTCAATTTTCCGCAGAGTCAGCAACTTTTAATGTGATAATGACGTGAAAGCTTAATGGCAAATAAAAGGAAAATTCACGTAAGTGCCACAAAGAAGTGCTTGACTGCGATGAGCGGATGATAAATATTCCAAAAGGCAACGAAAATAACAAAAAGATAGCAAAATAAAGAATATAAAACACACGAACAACACACACACGCAATTATTTTCGGTATTGGACGTATTGGTTCGTGAGTGTGTTCGTGTACGCGTGTGTTTGTGTGATTGAGTCATTAGGTGCCTAGCAAACAATCAGCCTTTCCCTGCATTTTGTGGCGCGAACGTGACGCCGTCAACACATCAACTCAAATTTAAATGTGTGTGACTGGTATGCGCCTAAAAGTATGCAACAGTACTCAACGCATTTACGATAATAGTGTGCGTACGTGATTTATTTGGGAAAATCTATGACGCTTTACAACAAACAGCAATCACACAACAATTCAAGTGCATTTTAACACCACCAACAAATAGCAGCAGTAATTTCGTCAATTACATTGCAGCTGGGGTGTGGCAAGTTGAGGGGCAGCGCACATCTGTTCACATCATTAAGCTCACAAATTAATGTTTAAAAGCCAGCACTTTAGCCAAAACACTTGAAAAACAGCAAAGTGTGCGAATTTCCATAAATTTTTTTCTAATGCCACTAGATAGCATACAAAATTTGGGATTTAATTAGAACAAAATTCAAATGCACACTTAAGCGGCAATGTTTTATGAAGTTGTTTGGCGGTGTGCACTTTTAAAATTTAATTAAAATAATACTGTGTTTGGTTAGCTGCTGATTTGAAATGGAGTGCCGGCTATATTGAAGCCTTGTTAGCTGACAAAGAAATGTTTTGACAAAGAGGGCTTAAAAACTATACGTAGGTACATAAAATGTTTGTGCGAATTTTTAATTAATGCAAACTCCGGAGATTTCTTTCGCGAAGTGCACTGAAAGAATCTAGTTTTAACATTCAGTCGTCCTTAAACCTTACAAAGTAGAAAAGGAATAGCATATATCGTGGTCATTGATGATGTTGATGACTGTTTTTTAAGATATTTTAATATGGCAAAGGGATCTAAATCCTGAAAAATTACTTTCACTCTTCTATCCCGGATTGGTTAGAAGAAAAATGCTAGAAGTTCTGCAGTATGCTACATATCTCAATCGATTAGGGTGCCTTGGGGTTATTGAAATCACTAACAACTTTGGGAAAAAATGCAAGAAGTTTGAAACAATATCTTTATTCGGAAATTGATATCGAATATACCAATAAATACCTAAGCTAAATCATGTGAGAATAACGGTAGATGTAATGCTAGATATTAGCAATAATCTAATCATTCTAATAAAACGCAAAACTGAAATTCCAGAAGTTTGTTTTTATTAGGTTGGCAATTCGGTATTGTGACCATATTTTATAAAGTATATCAATATTTAATTTTAAAACTATTTAGATTTTGTTCAAAATTGTGAGACAATGAATATAATATTAAGTTTAAAAATTCAAACCTACTATTCTGACCACGAGTGTTATATTGCAATTTCCTTTTGAGTGATTTTCGGTGTTACCCAAATGTGGGAATTTGAAGTGTTATTTTTATTTTTTAATTTTACGATTTTTGATGAATATAACCTTACAAAACTTTAAAGATCACACGCTTTCCTCACTGTCTCAAATCCCTCCGCTTCCTTTCTTATTCCGTTGTAAGCTGAATGCTTGTACTCGACACGCTGGAGCCTGAACTCAACTTTACAATGACTTGAACAACTCAAGGAGAGTTTTTGTAAACTCAATGACAGCAACAGGATAAAACTAAAATGAGAATGCAATTCAATTCCTGGTCGCTCTATTGCCTATAGGCACTTGAGTGCCGCTGCTGTCAATGACATGTGAAATTGAAGTGATTTTCAATTGTTTTACCTTAAACTACTTGTAGAAAGAAAACTGACAAGTGGTTAGGGAAGTGAAGTCGTGTGAGAGTTTAAAATTAAAGGGTACACGTATTGAACTTAAAACTGAAAACCAATCTCAATAGAAGCTAAAATTATGTATGTTTGTTATTTATGGTATCATTTTCTTAAATATTTATATTTTGTCTATAATCTCACTGTAAGTCATTTATCGTAGGTTTTCAATATTCCTCTTGCTCTTTGCTCTCCGTTTGTCATTGAAATTTTCGGCATCCAAAATTTACTTAACCTTCCAATTCAACTTCAAATTAAAAGAAAAACCTTTCGTCGTAGGCAAAAGTCCCTTTAATTTTCCACATTTTGCATTCATGATATTAAAATCATATATAGAAATACATCTGTACGTATCCCCCACCTTCCTCGCTCTCTTGTCTGCTCAAACTCATTTCCCATGCATGCTCTCTAATCTCATTGGATTCCAGCAGAAGTTACCCTTTTCACCAATTTCGGAGTCAGCAAAATTCATGCAAGAAAATCCCCAATGATTTTCACACTTACA